AAGCAATTTACGTATTTCATTTCTCACAAATGATCCAGAAAGTTTTGATTTCGCATAAAAATCTGCAGTTCGATTGTGTATTTGTGCACGCTACGTGTACCTAGCTTGAAGCGAACTAAGCGGTCAGTGATCTACTATAGAAAATGTTGTTCGATTAGAAGAATAAATTCCCTAAAGCTTGTCATTGTTGTCGATTAGAATGGAACGGTTTCGACGTTCGATAGAAAATGATTGTAGGTACGATTGAAAGCGTTCCCGTTCACTATCGAATTCCTACATTGAATCCATTGCACGAAGGTGTGAGAAAGCAGCGAGGAAAACGACAAAGGATTTACCGGAATAAATCTCTGTAGCGTTGTAACATATACGCGGCCCGTTTCCGGCAACACAACAGTCTAACAATCACGTGTGCCGCCGCGCTAATCCAATATCTTCAATAATCGGTATATATAACATATATATTTCTTATATGAATTATATATACTTTATTTATATATATACGTATCCACGCGCGTGTGTACACAGGGCATGCCGTCTAACCGACAAACAATCGCGAGTCCAGTTTTGGGTGATTGCTACGTTTATGGTGTGCGCATGGGCATCCGACAATTTCCAACTGTTCTTTGAATTTTCGCGAGCTTCTCGGATATGGTTGCACAGAAGCATCTCGATCGTAATCGTAATTTTCACTTGTAATTGTAATCTCTGCGATCGGTAAAGGTGATGTTGCACGAAAGTTGAATTCGAGATCGCTGTATCTACGTTCGCCGGGTCTTGTTGAATTGATCCAGCTGCTGAAGATGGCTGCGAAATTGTCGAACATCCTGTATACGTATAATATACATGGTACATGTATTTACAGAACGAATCGATAAGTTTTGCCATCCGAAGTGACTCGTTGTATGCATCGATTTGCTCAAAAAAATGTTTTATGCAAAATATATATTGTATTCTGGTTCCTTTTAGAGATTAAGGTCGGGTCGAGGTCGGGACGTTTTGATAAAAAAACACATGATCCCATTCATAAAACCCTTAGCGGTCTCGATACCTCGAAAAAGTACGAGGCATAAAAATGTAAGAGTTCATTCGTGCAACTAGCCAGCTTCTCGTAAACGATAAAGTGCGGTGGGAAAATGGAAGAGGGGAAAAAACGCTCTGCCGTCTTTGCAAGCATCGTGATGGCGTTTGCAACATGCGGGTGACTTTCAATTTTGTTTAATGGAATGTTACACGTATATTTTTACATCGCGCGAAAGCGTTCACCAAAATGAGACCACAGTGTTGTGCTTCGAGGAACCAAAGAAATGTATTTTCAAAACGCTGGCTAGTTAGTGAACACCCTGTATATTTAGTATAAACAATTTTTCGATCGAATCGATACACGAGCAATATTATTTCTGACATCGGTTCTCGTTCACTCGCCCTGTAGATACACATGCGAGTCTAATCGGGCGAACATGATTCACGGTTTCCGTAAGCAAAATTATAGGAGTGTACATACAGACTCTCGCGATAGTGGTAGAATAAACATGAACCTGGTCAGCCATTCCGAAACGTAAATCGCATTTACAAATCCATGACTGGGGCCATTCATATGCGTCCGAGGGCTGGCTCGTGTTGTATTTACAATTATTTGTTTCCGCGTGGAGTGTTCTTGCCTTTCGGTGCCGAGAGCGTGCAAATAGAACATTTGCTAATACACACACACACATACATATATATATGTACAGAAAACAAAGATCGAATCTATATAAAAAGGGAAGCAGCCTCGAAAAAGGTATTCGTCGACAGAAAAGTACACGATAGTGAGCTTAATATTAACATAAAAGACTTAATTTCGAGTTAAATCTAAAGAATCATTGAGCCTGTACAGATACATTATTGAAACGATCGGGACTTACAAAATAATTTTCTGCAGAGCACTCATTGTCGCGGGTACTTAGGGCTCCAGTATTCGTACACTCGATTGAGAGCCGAGTAAACGAGTATGACTGAATACAACTTAGATATTCGATCAATTTAAATCCAATGTGATCTAGCTACTCGCTTAATTTAGACCAATGCATTTAACACGTAATTCGGACTCAACTCTCTGATACTTAATTTAGATTCGAGTACTCGAATACCCGGACATTGAGGGCTCTACAATTCCATGAGTACTTGGACTCTTTTTTTCAGGAATGTTCGTTCGCCCTGTTCTCTCAAAAATGGAAAACCGATTAAAAGCGTCGCTAAAGCTCGTGCAATTCTTTCATGGAATCCTGTATCGAAAACCAAATACTCGAAGGTAAAGAAAGAGCATTTCGTAAAAAGATCAGCTATACAAAAAAACGGCCTCGAAAAGTCGAGTAAAGGGAAGAATGTTGCAAAATAGAAGAAAACAGAAGTAGGTGGTATCGATTTTCCTTCTATTCAAGAAACCTTTGGCGTTCCACGCGCGATCGAATTCTTAATTAATCATTAAAATATATTAACGCACGCATATAGTCTTTTGATTCGGACGATACCTAGATAGTCATGTTCGAACCTCATGCAGACAGCAACGCATATTATACGTCTATAGTAAAAGTAAGAAACGAAATTACAGGTGGAATAAGGAGAAGGGTTTCCAATATAAATTTATGCTATACGAACATAAAAAAAAAAAATATACATCTCGTGTTCGCATGATAAAGAAGATACAAATGAAACAGCAGGAGGAGACTCTCAGATAGATCGTGGATCCTCACAGGCCAGCAAAGCGGACCGGACTTCTCTGGTGTGTCTCTTGCAAACGGCTCTTTATCAGCACATTTAATCAACGGATATTTCTTATGTACAATTCAAATATAGAGCTTTACAATTTTCCATATAACAAAGAGATAGACAGGAGATAATCGAAGCGTGGGTGGTCGCGATTGCAAACGCGGTTCAAGCGTTTTCTTTTCGCAGAGAGCTGCTCTATTAATTTTCTATATCCATTCCCCCTTCAAACATGATGAACGTTTGAACGCATCCGCGAATATATCATCTGTACAAGATATACTACGGAAATATACATCTCACACAAGACTCGTTAATTAGAAAAAGGGTTCGTTTTTCTTTGACGAAGAATATTCTTGGTTCGTTCATTGCCTCGCCTGAACTCGATCGCTCCTCCTCGCGAGCCAAACTTTGTTGACCAGCCATGGATTTATACACCAACGTCTGAGGTAAGAAGAAATGATC